TATAACAAATTGTTAAACTAATAAACAATTAAATAATGAATAATTTTTTTTCCAAAATATTCAAAAGTGTAAATTATGATTTTTAAAAGCAAAATCATTCCTTAACTAATTATTTGAACAATCGAAATATAAAAAAATCAATTTCAAACAATTAAAAATTAAAATTGAGATTTTTTTTAATCATTATTATCTCTAGACAACAAAATAGCAATAAAAAATTCAAAAATATTGAATTTCTCTTTTTGTTTAAAACAATTAGATGAACAATTTACGTGAAAAATACACATCCTACGTTAATAACTGCCATTGTTCAATGTGAAAACAGACATAGCTAAATATCCATTGAAAAAAAAATTTATCACCAATTTTACGATATTTCATTTTGCAATAGTTGTAAAAAATCATAATTAACAAATTAATAAATTTTCATGAACTTTTATCGCAGGATCGTATGAAGTATATATATCAAGAGGGCTCCACGAAGTTTAAAATTTAAAGGCCAATTATTTATACCTTTTATCCCATTATTTATGCCAACGGAGATTGGGAAAAAATTTGTTAGTTAACAATTGAATAACTTTTTGAAAAATGGTGATAAAAATTTTTTTTCTACGGGACTCGATTCATTCAAATGTTAAGAAGATACAAGATTTTTAACAAATTTTCAAAATGACATTTTATGTTATAAAAAAATTATTTCTTTTGATAAACTCTCTTTAGCGGCAGCGCGCGCATGCCGTAACAGCCGCGCGGAATCCTATTTTCAACGTCAAATTAAAATTATAAATAATGGAGATAGAGTTTCGGGAGTCGGAACTTTTTTATCGAAAATTTCCTCCTCTTTAACGAGCTTTTTTCAAAATTGCTTAAATATTAATATTTTTTGAGTTATTAACGAAAAACTAAATACCATTTTTTCATTCTTATTTTGCTAATAACAATTGTAATTTTTCACCTGCACCAAAATCCTTTAAAAACATTCTTCTAGAGGTGATTCCGAATCGAATGAGCTATCGCTCATATTTTTAGGACCTTCATCTATATTTTTCATGTTTTTGAACTTGTTGATTAGAGTTTTAATCTTCCACTTTGGAGATGATCACTTGGTGATCGAAACACGTGTCGAGGTGTTAAAAATAACGATTTGGTGTTGGGAAAAAACTCCAGCAATATTTATTATTTATTGTTGATTAGGCTATGAAGAAAATTGGATATATGAAATATATCTTACTTATCTCATATATATGAAATATATATGAGGTAAGTCCGATATTGTGTTATTTTCAATAAAAATTAATAATTTGTAGGTAAACATGAACACGGGAAAATGTACACGTCAAATTTCTTCCGAAATGGTGATCCCGAAAGGCAATTCTAATTTTGTAATTGGTTAATAAGAAGACCTGATTTGCTTGTTCTCGTGGAAAAAGTTATTTGGACAAATGAAAGCACTTTTACGAATTGTGGGATATTCAACCGAAATAACGAACACATTTGGAGCATAAACAACCCCAGACAGTTCCGATAAATTTGACCTCAGGTGCGATTCGGTATTAAGCGTGGGCAGGAATTTAAAAAGACAGAATTTTGGGCCCTCATTCATTTGACAGAATTCTAAATGGGAAAACCTATTACCAGTTTTTAATGTCGATTTTCGAAGACTGTTTGGATGATCTACCGCACAGTACCAAACGAGTATCTAATTACCTGACTGAAAGGTTTGATGATGAATGGATAGGGAATAATGGGCCAGTGAGGTGGCCAGCAAGGTCTCCAGACTTAAGTGTTATGGATACATTCTTATGGGGTACACTGAAAAATACAATTTATGGTCAGAGGGTACATCGATATATTGAGGACTTTCAACATAGCATTGTTAGAGAGTTCGGAAGATTGAGGAGGAGGGAAATCAATCGTGCAGTGAATAATATTCGAAGAAGGGCACAGTTGTGTTATCATGAACAAGGCGAGCATTTTGAGAATTTGCTGTGATTTACTGTTGTCTTTACATTGTAGTTGAAAACCTATTGTTATTTGTTCGAAGTTCTATTTTCATTGAAAAGGACACAATATCTAACATACCTCATACATACCTCATTTATCAAATTTTCTTTAGTTTCCTGGTCCAGTCTACCTCCATATTTTTTCCTCAGCTTTTCAAATGAACTGAACTCGGTGAGATTTGGATCTAATAACTTGCACATAGTTCGATGTGGTTGTCGTCTTTCGGAATACAAGTTTGAATACATTTCCGATGTCCTAACACTGTTTCTATCTTATATTTGTAATAAATTTGTATCATATCTCTTTATTCTTCATTCGTGAAAGTCATTTAACAAAATGAGTGTTGAGTTGCTCTAAAACTTTTTGAATCTTACCTAAAAAATCGCTATCAAGTTGTTGAAGTCCGCAATGAGAAGTCAGAGTTAAAAAACTAACATACATGGTATCCCACAGGGTTCGGTCCTTGAACCGTTACTGTTTATCATTTACATTAATGATTTTCGAACATTTCTGTTGCCGGAAAAGTGTACTTTGTTTGCTGATGATACTACCCTGATTACCTCTCACTATGACTATCAGCAACTACCGATGTTATTACTGGCGTTGCAAGAAAAAGCCAAATATTGGTTTCAGGCTAATAAGATACAACTTAATAATAGTGAAACCCAGAATATCACATTTTCTACAAATAATTCTCTCATGGAGGACAATAACGTTGAATTATTGGGAATAACTATTGATAACAGACTTGACTGGAATTGTCATAATTGAACAACTTAGACATAAACTTTCTAGTACGCTATTTTTACTCCGGCAATTGAAGAGATTTGTTAATCATGATACACTGAAAAGTACCTACTTTGCACTTTTTCATGCTCATATGAGTTACGGTATCCTAATGTGGGGTAACTTCTCAAAGTCACTGCAAATCTTTCGACAACAAAAAAAGGCCCTGAGGATAATTTTGAATTGTAATAGCAGAGAACATTGTCGTCCTTTATTTGTTCGCCTCAAAATTTTATCGCTACCTTTCTTATACATACAGTGTGACCCATTTTCAATGGAAACACCCCCCTAAAATTTGAAGTTGTAGATCGATTTTTATATATTTTTTTTAAATGTCAAGTACTAAAAGGTCTACTTTGGGTCAAAATTTGAAATGTTTATTGAAGTTTCAGGACATACTACAATATTTTTTCTTGGTCGAAAATCGGGATTTTTCATTAGCGATTTTTTTATTGGAAAGATCACTACGCCACTGGATTCAGAGTGCCTCTAAATAGGTGTGACCAAAATTTCATGAAAAAATATTTATTATTAACAAAGTTATGACAACTCAAATATTCGAAAACTCGCACAGCTAACAGTCACAATATATAATTTTTTTTATGATTCCAACAATAAAGTGCCGCCAGATGAAAAAAAAAACAAATAACGTAAATATTTTTAATGAAAATAACGGAATTACATTCACACAATTCAACTAACAATAAAGCAAAAAATTTTAATGAACGTAACTAATAACTAAATATTGAAATGTTTCGATTCCGTGCAACAATTAATTCTAACTCATATTCTAGTAGCCTCTACTAATCCACCACGTATTTCGATACATGTGTTCAGTACTTGACATTTCAAAAAAAAAATTATTAAAATCGGTTTACAACTTCAAATTTTAGGGGGGTGTTTCCATTAAAAATGGGTCACACTGTATATGAGACTCTTACAGAAACACATAGACAAACAAGAAATTTGGTAACACAATCTCAAGTACATTTCTATGATATAATACAAGATGATCAGATTATATAGAACTCCCAGGTACAGGCTTACAGTTTCCCAAAGAAATTCACCAGACTATCATGTGTATAATGTATTACCATCTGATATCAAGTCACTTAATATAATTTCCTTTCAAAAAAAGACAAAAAGATTTCTTTAGCAGCACTGCTTCTATTCAGTGGTTGAGTAAGAATATATGCAACATCTTGAAGTGCCTCTTTGAACACTTTTTTCAGATCCCATTCGCTCGACTCTGTTTTCTCAGAAGTTCTCTGATGAATATCAACACTATTTTCATTTTTTATATCAGAATGATCATAAATATACTCAACGTGGCAATCTTTATTTGTCGCTACTATGTCTTTCTAGGTATTTTAATATATTTTTAATATATCTTTATGTATTTTTAATCTAACAGACTTGCTATAAATGTACTTTTGTATATAACATAGTTAAATAAATATTCTATTCTATTCTAACAAATTGAAAGTCAAATTTAGAAACACCAATGTCAAAACCTATCATGATGATAATTAATTGTTTTCAATATCTCCAATTCTTCGAAAAAGAATGATAACTTATGATACATCATTGAGAAGGTAATATCTGGTTATATTCAAAACAGAAAGAATCCAATGCAGCGCCATAAGAAAAAATAAAGTTGATGATGGTGGCCGGAAAACGAAACGTCTTCCGTAACAGGAAGAAGTAGCAATGTGGAAGTGCAATTTATTTTCGTATCCTTCGAAAAATGAAGCCGAGCATATCCGGATATCTCCGGATATGCTCGGAATTTCAGAACTTCCTCAACGGCAATATTGTTAGTCAGGTAAATGCGCAACTTTGCCCCAATTTCACCTTCTTCGTATATCTCATAGTTTCCGAGATCCCAATGGTGAGGTTCGAATTTGAAACACCCTGTAGATTGCTTCCTCAACAAAAATAAATTTTATGTGAATCCCAATATTCTTGACAACAATTTATCATAGCAGCATAAAAATCATTGATACATATACATAGTCTCAAAAGGTATTCACCTGGATTATTGCCGATCAATGACTTCTCAAGTTCCCATTTTGGTTTGGTTGGGTCTAAAGTTTGATAAAACACTGCCATCAATGCAGCGAAGAATCCTATTAACACAATGTAGAAGAGGATGTAGAATAATATGATTTTTCCTGAAACAATGAAAATACTGTAAGTAAATAATATAGAATAACCGTTTTATAATCAATGTGGTTTTTTCTGGTGATAATTTAATAATATTACTGTGTAGACAATAGTACAGAAAAATTAAATAATAATATAATGATAATAATAACCCCGGATGACGTTCGAAGAGGTCTTGTGGGCTCCAAGAACTTTGCTGCTCCAGGCCCAGATGGGCTGAACACTTATTGGTGGAAAAAACTACCAAGCACCCACCGCCATCTGGCCAGAGCTTTCAACTCATGACTGGACGGAGAGCAGCCGATTCCGGATTGGTTTGTCGAGGGGCGGACCGTTCTTATCCCTCAGAACGGAGATTTGTCGATTCCTAAGAATTACAGACCGATAACGTGCTTGAATTCGTGTTATGAGTTGTTTACGAGCATCTTATATACACGAATAATCAACGTAGTTGACCGAATGTTAGAAGGGATATGTGAGCAGAGAGGGTCGAAGAGAGGAGTCGCTGGATGTAAAGAGAACCTGCCCATCGATAGATGTGTAACCCAGGACTCTATACAATATAAGCGCAACCTCTCTATGGCCTGGATCGATTACCGCAAGTCATTTGATACAATTTCGCATGAGCTCATCTTGCATTTGCTCAGATGCCCGACAAAATAGTGAGATGCATTGAACAACTGATACCACTTTGGCGAACTCGCTTCATTACCGCAGTCGCGTGATGGGTATAGAGGTTTCTGACACAAGGTGCAGGGCCTGCCGCGAGGCGCCCGAGTCCCCAATGCACTTGCTATCAGCATGTACAGCATATGCAGTCTCGGCATATATCCATCGACATAACGCGGCCCTAAGAGTGCTATATTACCATCTACGGCACTCTTACAGTATTGACGAGACACCGGTGTTGCCCTACGCTCCGGGAGATATTGAATTCGTTGTGGGGAATGAGAAGTGCCGAATTTATTGGAACTATTCGTTCTCCACCCTCAGGCTCATACGAGCTAATAAGCCTGATATAGTCCTTCTATCCAGAACACTCTGTCAAGATGGTTGTTCTGATTTCATTGGAGTCCTTGGGGAATGATGTCCTCTCTATTCTTGAATCTTAATATCATACCGGCTTGCCGCACTAAGGCAGAAATCTTAGCCGCACAGATGCAGTCATTCTTGGCTCACTGCGCTTGCTTAGGGCACATAATTCTTGGACCCAATGACCCAATTATAACTCACCCCACGGTGTGGGGAGTGGTCATTGGTTGACCACTTGATATTGTACTAATACAATATATAAGATTGAAAATGTATTCATAGGAGGAAACTGTAGTAACGTTACTTAAAAATAAAAGTGATAAAAAACATAGAAAGTTTCATTTTTCTTTTCTTCATTAATTAATCAATAGATTATAACAAATTACATTTTTTGAGCATTGTTTTAAAATTATTTTCTTATGAATACAAGTATTCTGATTAAAAGACATACAGTTATTTATTTGCATGCTATTTCCTGAGCTTTTCAATTGATTAAGTTCAATGAATTTTAAAAAAAATGAAAAAAAATATTGTTTTTGTCAGATTAAGCGAATCCCTCTAGATATTCGTCAGATTATGACACAGCACGTCTGAAACATAAAGATGAACCATATATATCTTAATCTGACGCGCTTGAGTATTTCAAAATGGCGATTTTTTTGCACATTATAATAATGGCCGCGTGTTTGCGTCAGATCGAAATCGTCAGATTATTGAATGAGAGCTTCTTTTTTTGTTGCACTTAACACTTTCAACCCTCACGTACAACCACTCACATCATGCAAACGATCAGATTAACATACCAACATTATTAAAAATACGTAGGACATTGATGCTATCAATATCTGACGCGCTCGAGTATGTCCATGCAACAGTATTTTTTTACATATTTAAAAATCTATAGTCGCTTCCCCCACCGATGAAAAGGTATATATTATTCAACATATTTTTCTTCTTATTANTTGTGTCAGATTGAGCGAATCCCTCTAGATAATCGTCAGATTATGAGACAGCACGTCTAAAACATAAAGATGAACCATATATATCTCAATCTGACGCGCCTGAGTATTTCAAAATGGCGAATTTTTTTGCACATTATAATAATGGCCGCGAGTTTGCGTCAGATCGAAATCGTCAGATTATTGAATGAGAGCTTTTTTTGTTGCATTTAACACCCCCTTCGAAAATCTGACGCGCTCGACTATTTTTTTTTCTTTTCACTTTTAACCCTTACGTACAACCACTCACATCATGCAAACGATCAGACTAACATACCAACATTATTGAAAATACGTAGTACATTGGGCGCTCGAGTATGTCCATGCAACAGTATTTTTTTACAAATTTAAAAATCTATAGCCGCTTTCTCCACCGATGAAAAGGTATATATTATATAACATTTTTTTCTTTTTATTGTCTAATCTTTGCAACCTAATATGTCTCTATGACGCTCGAGTTAATTCCCATTTTGCATCGTGGGCCCGTATTTCACTTCGGTATCGAAACTCTTGGAACAGAAATAGTATTTTTGTGTAGCTGAGTGTACTTGTTTTCGTTTACCCCTTCAATTTGATGAAAAACTGAGTATTGGGCTCTAACTTTCTCAATGTCCATCTCTAGCTTCAAAAATTTTCTTTTTTCATCCAATGGGCCACAATATAAACATGTCATTCTTAACTGCCAGAATGGAGGAAGAATAATAAACATTGTTCTACCAAGCAAATGCTCAGTGAAATTCAACACTGAACATTGTTCTACCAAGCAAATGTTCAGTGAAATTCAACACTGTTATTTTTTTTTTCATCGTACGAAATTTCAATTCATTTCAATAAAATAATATTGTATTCTTCTTATGAGCAACTAGTATAGATTGTGGAGCTAAACAAGAAAAGACGTACTAAAATGAAGTTAAAATAATATTTTTTTTTCAAACTCTGCAAAATCCATAACGTGTTACTGAAGTAACAAGTTATAGATTTTCATCTGGTACCGGCCAATTCTATGACATATATTTTTCAGCAAGTTTGAATACACTTTTGTTTCCTCCATGAAGTCATGGAGATGACAATTTTCACATCACACATCGTTAATGGTTCATCCAATTAAAATGTTCCACTAATAATGTAGTTTCCTAGAATAGCTCATCAAACATGCACCTAGAAACTTCACATGGATATGACCTAATTCTGTTTTATTTCAAACAGCTTTCCTGAAATACATTGTTCTACCAAGTCAATGTTCACTGAAATTCAACAGTATCATTTTTTGTATTCTTCAAACTGAATTCGAATTAATTTCAATAAATGAATAGATTTTATTTCAAATTATGCAGTTTTTGTTCATTTCTGAAAAAAACACTTCAGAAATCATACGTTGAAAGGTAAGACCTCGTTTGTCCTTAGCTCAAACAAGTTTTGACTTCTGAGGGTTGTCGTTCGTAGGGGTGCGCCAGCTGGTTAATGGGAAAAACATATTTTCATTTCAACTTCAAATATGAACGTTAATAACTCATTATAATATGTAAGGTAAGTTGAGGATTATAGATTTTTTGTCGAAGGTAATGTAAAAACATTTTAAAAAAATATTGAAATCGAGATATCATCCATAGAAATTGTAACTAATTATAACTGAGAGTCAATTCAAATGAAATCATAATCATAATCTTTATTTCATCCACAAAATTTATACACGAATGTAAACAATAGAAATTACTTACATCCTGCAAAAAATATATCGGACTAGTCAGCTACATGAAAAAGTAATACAAAAGACAAATGTAAAGTTTTGTCATAGCACATTAAAATGTATAGAATGTATAAAGTAAATAAAATGTATACCACAGCCATTATATTAATATGAAATCATCTTAGAATTTAAGGAATTCATCCACCGTGTAGAACATATTGCAGTAGAGAAACGAATGCAAATCAGATTTAAACCACATTTTACTAGTATTCGTATCAATGAAAGTTTTTATTTTATTAAAACATTTTATGCCAATATAATTTGGTGAGTTTTTGCCCGTCGATAATCTAGAAAATAGGTCATGAATGTTATCTTTTTGACGTGTATTATGTCCATTAATGTTACTTTTCGTGAAAAACATATATTCATTTTCTCTCACATACATTATCAATTGGAATATGTAAAGGCATGGAAGTGTCAGGACTTGAATCTGATGAAATAGAGGTTTACAGGTTTCTCGTGGATGAGCTCTGAAAATTGCGCTCAATACTTTTTTCTGTGAAATGAATGCCTTATAGTCCAGTCATTATAGTAAGTTCACTCGTAATTCGAGATACCCAGCTGTAAGTCTGTTAATACTTGTATATTGACACCCTAAAAGTTGTCTCAAAACCTACATATGGTAGGGTGTAAGCAACTATTAAATTTCAAGGTCAAAGGTCACAAAAATCGGTTTTTTGCGCTTTTTTTGGAAATATCTCATTTCCTATGGGTTTTTTGCTATTTGTATT